AGGTCTTTTCCAACCGAAACGATTCTATGATTCTGTGATTCTATGATTCTATGATCTTGAACTTTTTTTAGACGTGACTACCCTGAATAATTTTGTGTTGTTTGAAAACTGTCATCTCCTTACTTTCACTCATTCCAGATTGTAGTATTAAACATGTTTGTAAACGTATCTATTTTCAGATTGTTGGGGAATATAATGAAGAAAAAAGACTATGTATTTTTAAGCTTTCTTTCTGATTTTTAACCAGTTCTAAAACAAGAATTAACATCTAACATCCTAGGGTTTCTCAGAGCCTTTAGTAAGTGACCTTGCTGAAGTCCAAGTACAGCGTATCACCTTTAGCCCAGTGCTTCTTAGTTCTTCCAGAGAGCTCCTCTGTTATTGATTTTCTGGTACATGGCTTCCCTTAAACAAATCTATTCACTTTTCCCTAGGGTGTCTTTTACACCCAAGCTTGCCTAATTTTGTCTTTATAGGTGCTATGGATTTGCCTAATATGAACATTAGACTGTATGTCCTGAAATATCTTTAAAAGATTTGTGTCATATATGCTGCTTGTGTAGAAATACTGGTTTAAGCGATAGATTATCCTGTATTGAAATGCTTTTGAAACATTTTAATGAGTAGCATGTAGTCCTGGGAAAGTGTTACTCTCTGATGTTTCTTCTAAATTGTTTTTTTCTGAAACCTTGTGTGCTGATATTGTGCATGGCTTCCTTGGTGCTCCTTCTCTACAATCTGTAAAGAATGGCCGTCATGTAGGATGCATCTGATCAATGCAAATAGGTGTGGGTGTTCAAGGCTTTCCTCTTGAAGAAAATACTGACTAGAGTTCACTGTTAAAATTATTAAAAACAAAAAGGCCCATGTAATACTATTCACATGGTGGACCAGAATCTTGAATTTGTACTGCAAGACTATTTTCCTGTTGTCCTTTCGTGTATTTAGTTGTTTACAAAGTAATATTATGGTAACCAAGTAAATGTTACATAATTTACAAAAGCATGACCAGAATACTAAGGTGGTCTGGTTTTTGTCCTGTGGAACACGTTTCTATTTGCCTTTGGCTTTAAAAGTCAACTTCATTTGTAGCATTGACACCCTGTACTATTACTTTATATTCTGAAGAGATCTGAGTCTATCTTTGCAATCATGCAGTGTCTGTGAACTGCAGTCCTTATAAATTAAAATTCTGGTTTAAACGGAATACTTTCTTCAAAAGAATTTTAGAATTCAAATTTTGTTCAAGCCTCACCATGTCATTCATGTCCATCCTGTCCTGTGTCCCCCACCCCTGGCCTGGTGATCGGTGTCATCAATCAGCTACTCACAGTAGAAGAAACATAGGCAAAGAAAGAATGATGAGATAATGAATATATCTTGTGAAATGATGGTTTATAAACTCCACTGGATTTACTAGAGCTGATGTAACTGTAGAATTACTATTCTGCATAGGAGAATTTCAGAGAACAAGGAACACGCTATTGCTTGCACTGTACAAATACAGAGCCAAGACAGTTCTTGCTTCAGTGTACATATAATAGCATGACAAGATGCCAGATAAAAGATTGTGAAAAAATATAGTGCAGTTATTGTGAGAATCAGACAGAAATTATTGTACAAATATCTTAATTGTATGATTAAATGTTTAAGAAAAAATGCAGTTACCATCATACTTTTATGAAAATTACATGTTTGTGGGAAAATCTCTGTTGAAGATTAAGAACCCCACCCTTTTTTGTTTAAAAAACAAAACAAAACAAAAAAAAAAACCCCACTGGCTAGTCATTGTAATTTGTGTAACATGTTTCACCAAAACTGAATGAATTAAAATCACATAAAAATTAAACCAAGTTTGTATCTAGCAGAGGTGAAGTGTTATGTTTACTTCGTTCAATAAGAGTTTCTGTAAAAACAGAAAATTGTAAAGAATTAGTAAAAATCCACAAGTTTTGACACAGATTTGGCATTAAAAGCCACATGATCCATCAGAGAAGTTACTGGTAGTTGTATTAAAACCAACTTCTTTACACCAGCTTACTTGAGCAATATTGCTTGTATGTGTTCAGGGTAATAAATCCTTATTTTATGGAGCTGAACAGCTAGTGTCTAGTTCATTCACCTTTCTGGCGTGTCCTGCCAGAAATTTAAGTTGTTCTTGGTATAACTGCCTCTTTACTCATCTTTGGGTCTAACAACCCCCACCTTCAGCCCCCCCTTTTTAAACAATGTTACTGTTGAAATTTTTGTTTGTGACTAAATACATGAACCTGTTTGGTTTTAATCTGAGAATATAGTTGTACCTATGGGACATTGCTGTTACATTGCTATTTACATAGCATCAGGAATTATCAAGATTATTTTAATCACATGAAAAGAGAAGGTCTGTGCCAGGGAAGAAGCGTGCAGCTGAAATGCGTGGCTTTTGAGATCTGTAAGTAGACCAGTGACTAAGCTTGAGCAAAGATCAGCGCTGATGCGTCAGGTGTTCATGAGAGCCAGTTTTCTATTCTGCTCTTTATGCTCAATTCTGTGAGTGTATTTTCCTTGTTGAACTACTATGTGTAGCTACAGTCACCAAATTTGTCAAAGTTTGTAGGAAATCTTAGGTAACTGAAAATACCCGTATGTCATCTCTCCTTTAATTTCTAATTTTCCAAAAGCATTGCTTAATTTTCCTCAGGTGTTTGACCTTGACATTCATTAAAATGTTGAAAATATAATAAGGGGCTTAGGAGGCTTGAATATTTTAATTTTGCTGGTTAATAAAACTAAGTGTATCATCTGTAATTATAACTGAATTAATGGCAGTCATACTCTTCACCTCATTTTTAAGCCACATATGTTGCTAAACTCTCTAATATTTTCTTGGAAAAAATACTTCTATAAATGTAGTTAAAATGCTGATCTCTTTGAAACCTATTAAAACAGAGAAGTACATAAAATCTGTAATGGTTTATATAGCTCTTTTGAATAGGACACAATTTGGTTTTTGCAAAATTCATCTATTATTTGCATATACAAGTTGGTAATATTAATGTCTATGTACAAGATTCCTTATACAGGTTCAAACCACTTTGTGGAAATCTCCTTAAAGAGTTAGTGTTCTAGTTTAGTCCACCAGAAGATGTCTGAGAACTTCCTATTTGGTTTTCTTGGATAAACAAGAGTGAAACACTTCTGAAAAGTAACTTCTCATTTTCACAGAGAGAAGTAAGACTTCTCTTTTTTTAACAGGAAGAAAGAGGCAGGATTAGTAGCTGTACAGTATTGCCTTTGGTACATCTTAAATTGATGGCCTGGAGTGACAGAGAGAAAGTAATATCCATTCATTTAAACAATCAAATCAGAGACTTCTTCTTTAAAGAACTTGAATGGGGAGTGGTAGTAGATAATCGCTCTTGTGTATATTGTCCAAGCTTTATTTCTGAAGTGCTTTCCAGAGTTAGGCCTGAATCTCCATGAATTCTTCTGCAAATAAGTTGGAATACAGTTTTACGGACACTGCTGGACATTAGGAAATACATAACTGGGTCTAGGCAGCTGTTAAAAGATGAAAATATGAGCATCACTTCGTTGCATTTGTGAATTATTTCCTTCCAATAGCAAGGTGGATCCTGTAACTGTGACGTAATGTAGACAAACCGGAACATGTGGTAAGGAACAAAACAGATGGTGAAAATAATGAGTACAATGAAGGAATTCCTTGCTGTCCGAGTGTATTTTCCTGCATTGGGAAAATTTGCTCTTTTCTTTGAAATTTTCAGAAGGTTCTTGGCAATTTTAACATATGAAAGTATCAAAAGGAAAAAAACTATCCAAAAAATTATTACAATAATGTAGTTCAAAATTGCTTCAGTCATTGCATTCTGTTTATTTCGGTAATGAAAGCACATAGTAGAATTGCTGTCCTCACTCTTAAAGAAAGATGGTGCAACTACTATTATAAATCCTGTTAGTGCAAATACCCACACTATGCAACAAATATGTATACTTCGTGTAATAGTTAACATCTTAGGACGCTTCACAGACTTATTTATTTTTACATAACGATCTAGACTAATTAGTCCCAACAGTACAATGCTAATATACATGTTCATATAAAATAGAGTTCCTACAATCTTGCATAAAATCTGTCCAAACATCCAGGTGTTTTTGGTAACATGATGGAGTATTCGGAAGGGAAGACAGAAGATCAGCAGAAGGTCTGCAATGGCTACATTTAGCAAGTAAACTTGGATAGAATTCCTTTTCTGATGAATGCACAGGAAAGCAAACAGGGCTATAATATTTCCAACCAATCCAACGACAAAAATAATAGAGTAAAAAACTATCAAAGCAAGTGACAGTGAGTTTTCATCTAAGCGACAACTGGCATTGTTTTCTGAGGCATTTGTGGGTGGGTTAGTTTGGTTACTCCAGAAGACTTCCTGGGATGGCAGAATGGTCAGTAAATCAGCTGAAGCTGCAGCCATCATTTGTGAGGATTTTTTTTAGCTGTTCTGTAGGGATGCAAAGAGAAATTTTAAGAATTGGATCGCCGTGGGACCATTTTCACGTGTTTGCTTGCTTTATTGCATACAGTCTTATGTGATATAAACATAAAAGGCATTAACTTAATGAACATAACTAAAGAAGAATACATTTAGACTAGACATTAGAAAGAAGTTTTTTACAATGAGGGTGGTCAAGCACTGGAACAGGTTGCCCAGAGAGGTAGTGGAGGCCCCATCCCTGGCAACATTCAAGGTCAGGTTGGACGGGGCTCTGAGCAACCTGATCTGGTTAAAGCTGTCCCTGCTCACTGCAGGGAAGTTGGGCTAGATGACCTCTAAAGGTCCCTTCCAACCCAAAGCATTCTATGATTCTATGATTCCATGAACTTAAAAAAGAAAATGCACCGAAGTATTGCTGTAACTGAGTAGAAGAAGGACTCTCAGCCAGATATCATGATACAATGTAAGTCTAGAATAATCAGTTCCCTGTTTTCCTTCTTGTGAAGTAGACAAGAACAGATGGTATAGAGCACTCACACAGATAACTATTTTTGTAATTACATCTTTTTTACTGCCTTGTATTTTTTTTAAAAACCAACTATTATGTTTTGCTGCAAATTTTAGAAATTTAGATTTTTTGTTTTATCTATAAGTACAAATAATTTTTTAAGTTCTGATGTTAGGATTAGTCTTTCTGACACAGTAAACTTTTTAATTAAGATGCAAAAATGGGTAAGCATAGCTAAGTGAAGTATTCTTGGTGTTGATACAAAGTACATAGAAATACATCAAAACAATTCTGAACTCTTCAATATTAATTTTAAATAAGTACCCAGGATCTCTTGCATGCAAGTCACTAGTTTTCAGTTAGAAAAGCAATTGTCAATATTTATTTGGCTATGTAATTTGTTATAAGTAACACTGTGAGTCAGTACTATTACAGTAGCTTGTTCTTAATAATTTATATCTTCCTGTAAATTTAAGTATTTTTTCCTTGACTGTTCAAAAATCAGTATTATGCAAAGAAACTAATATTAGCTGGAAATCACATTAATGCAGTAACAGATTGTTTTCACATCATCCTTGTTTTCATTTCAAACTTTTTAATTTCACTAAGCTTATTTTTGACCAGGAAGGTACAATCTGGAAGATAAAAGTCAGCTTTGATCAAAGAAACAAAATCAAGAAAATGTGCGGTTAGGAGACTAGAATCACAATGAGCTGTTTAGAGAGATGGTTAAGACTGATTAGTAATGATACGTCTTTTCAATTTGTGTATCATAGCAATAAAAGATTGCATAAATAAGTTTACTTAGGTGGTGGGTTTTTTCTTTTTTTTAAAGGGGCAAGGTTTTTTCCCCTAATCTCACAAACACTTCAGAATTGGTTTTGGTACTCTGAATTTAGTTGTCTAACAATAGTAGCAAGAAAAAAACAACAACAAAATTTGCATGCTAGGTGTTAAAAATGCAAATTTACATTTAAATGTGTGATACAGCTACAGCAGTGAAAATGACAGCATTTTAGGTAAAATTCTTGGTAAGACCTAGCGTACATACAGAATCTGAATTATAGAGAGGACAGTCTGAAATATTTTAAGATCCTACATTGGCTGATCTTACAATTGCATTTAATTTGTACGATATGTCAGCAGTTTTAAAAATATTTCTGGTTTCATATTTGGCATTTCATATTGTCAGGGCAAGAAGTAATTTTAGAAGTTTGTTTAAAAAAATTATGCTTTCAAATACATCTTGAAACCTATCTACTACTATAATTTCTTGTTTATGTTGCTTTTCTATAAAAATGCTTGACATCATGACTTGCATAAGTAGTGACAAGTTTTAGGTGAATGAGAAAGTGAAAAAAATTAATTACACTGCAGATACATTAGAAACATAACTTCGCTATCATAAGTTTTGTTATCTGTAAGCAAGCAGGCATGCTGAAACATAGGTATATTTAAGAAAGGGTTTGAAGGTCAGTAGTACCTTTGCAGTTAAGAGAAATCTTAATAGAAAATTGTTTTATTATAGCATATATATAAAAGAAGCCACTTACCATTTATATATTGAGAACTTCTGCTGATTTTCAAAACCACTGGTGAAGACAGGGAGGAGTAAGGTGCAGGTCCTCTTATTAGAAAGCTAAAGCACCAGCTTCTCTATGAAAGTGATGAGAATCAGCTGACACAGTACAATTAGCAACCAGGGGAAGTTTAACTAGTGTTGCAACTGTTTTTTTAAAAGATATTTTTAACTAGCAAAACTCAGTCTGTTGGAAAGATCAATTTTGCCGTTAATTTGGGCTTTGCTGGGAGAGGTTCTGAAATAAAATTTTCTCTGAGTTTCACTCTCAATTTGAGATCTGGATTTTTTTCTCAGAAACTTTGTTTCTGGTGAGCAGTGTCAGTGACTTCCTTTTTGAATGACAGTTACATTGGTACAGCCTTCTTTTTAATACTGTCATGGAAATAATATCACTTTTGCAAATGTAGGTTAAAGAGAAATCAACACCACAGTGAAATGGTACATTTTGCTTATGTTGGTGTAGTTCTCCCATCTACCTTCCTCCTTGCCTGGGGTTAGAAATTTCAGGTTGGTCTTTTTCACTCAAAATAACAGTGATGAAAGAATGTGGAAGTGCCCAAAATGTGCAGCTTAAGAATTTCAGTAAGGTAGAAGTGAAATACGATATTCAGAGATAATACCACCTGGTAATACTATTTTAAATAGCGTGTAAGGGATTGAAAATTACACTTATAAATTGCAAATTTGTAAATGGATTCTAGAAGTCCTGATAGAAGGTAGCCTAAATTTAATGATCATCTCAAGAACATTGACTTAGTATTCTTCTTAGCACTTGAAATGAGAATGTCCATGTTAACTTTCTTAATGTATCATCTGTTTAGGAATCAAGCTTTTGTGGGATTCTGCAGATTTCAGTTAGAGTTGTAAACAGGCTATGCGTTCATATTTGAAGGTGCTTGTTCTCATACACTTGAAACTTTTTAAAAGAAAACATGGGTGGTGAGGTGGTTTGACCCTGGCTGGATGCCAGGTGCCCACCGAAGCTGCTCTGTCACTCCCCTTCTCAACTGGAAAGGGGAGAGAAAATATAACGAAAAAACTTGTGGGTCGAGATAAGAACATGGAGATCACTCAGCAATTACCATCACGGGCAAAACAGACTCAACTTGCGGAAAACCAGTTTTAATTTATTACCAATCAAAACTGAGTAGGGTAATGACGAATAATACCAAATCTTAAAACACTTTCCCCCCACCCCTCCCTTCTTCCCAGGCTCAACTTCACTCCTGATTTTTCTCTACCTCCTCCCCCTGAGTAGCACAGGGGGATGGGGAATGGGGATTGCGGTCAGTTCATCACGCGTTGTCTCTGCTGCTCCTTCC